TTTCCCTCATGTTCCTCTCCATTTTCCCTCTACATTTTCCTCAATTTTCTTTCACATTTCCCTCCATTTCCCCCTCACCTTTCCCTCCATTTTCCCCTCACGTTCCCCACCATTTTCCCTCACATTTCCCACCGTTTTCCCTCACATTTTCCTCCCTTTTCTCCTCACAATTCCCGCCATTTCCCCTCTCACGTTTCCAGTATAAACCCAACCCGGGCCAGTACAAACCAGTTGACCCCAGTATAACTCCATCTAGACCAATATACACCTGGTTTGGCTGACTTATATCCCAGTATAACCCGGTATATCCCAGTTTGGCCCAGTATAACCCAGTCCAGCCCCACATAAACAAGTTTGGCCCGGTATATGCCAGTTTGTCCCAGTATACCCCAGTTCATCCCAGTATAAACCAGTTTGGACCAGTATATGCCAGTTTGTCACAGTATACCCTAGTTCATCCGCAGTATAACCCAATCCAGCCCAGTATAAACCAGTTCATCCCAGTATAAACCAGTCTGGCCCAGTATACCCCAGTTCATGCCTCTATAAACCAGTCTAGATCAAAACTACCCCAGTATAACCTAATCCATCCCAGTACAAACCAGCCCCTCCCCTTCCTCCCTCCCCTCCCCTCCAATTTTGGGTTAAAAAAGCGGCTTTTCGGGTCCGGGCCCTCGACGTGGCGCGCGGCAGCCAATCAGAGAGCGGCTCCCCCCGCCCCACGTGGGCTCGGCGGCCGCTGATTGGCTGGGAGGAGCCGCGGGGGGCGGGGCCAGAGCCGAGAAGGGCCACGGGGTCGGGGCAGGGACGGACGAGGTGAGGGGGCGGAATTTGGGGGTCCTGGGGTCGGTCCTGGGGTCCCGAAGGGTCTGAGGGGGTCTGGAAGGGTTTGGGGGAGTTTGGGAGAAGTTTGGGGAGTTTTGGGGAGTTTGAGGGGGGTTGGGGGTGGGAATTGAGGGGGTTGGAGGGTCCTGGGAGGGAATTTGGGGGTCCTGGGGTCTGGGGTCCCGAAGGGTCTGAGGGAGGTCTGGAGGGGTCTGGGGAATTTGGGGATTTTGGCAAAGTTTGGGGGTTTGGGGAGTTTGAGTGGGGGTTTGGGGGAGTGGGAATTGTAGGGGGTTGGAGGGTCCTGGGAGGAATTTGGGGGTCCTGGGAGGAATTTGGGGGTCCTGAAGGGTCTGGGGGAATTTGGGGTTTTGGGGAAGTTTGGGGAGTTTTGGGGGAGTTTGAGGGGGGTTTTGGGGGTGGGAATCGAGGGGGTTGAGGGTCCTGGGAGGGAATTTGGGGTCCTGGGAGGGATTTTGGGGAGTCCTGAAGGGTTCTAGGGGGAATTTGGGGGTTTAGGGAAGTTTGGGAAGTTTTGGGGAGTTTGAGGGGGGCTTGGGGGTGGGAATTGAGGGGGTTGGAGGGTCCTGGGAGGGAATTTGGGGGTCCTGGGGGGTCTTGGGGTCCTGAAGGGTCTGGGGGAGGTCTGGAGGGGTCTGGGGAATTTGGGGGATTTTGGCAAAGTTTGGGGGTTTGGGGAGTTTGAGGGGGTTTGGGGGTGGGAATCGTAGGGGCTGGAGGGTCCTGGGAGGGAATTTTGGGGGTCCTGGGAGGAATTTAGGGGGTCCTGAAGGTCTGGGGGAGTTTGGGGAAGTTTGGGGGTTTTGGGGAGTTTGAGGGGCGTTTGGGGGTGGGAATTGAGGGGGTTGGAGGGTCCTGAGAGGGAATTTGGGGGTCCTGGGGAGAATTTGGGGGTCCTGAAGGGTCTGGGGGAATTTAGGGGATTTGGGGAAGTTTGGGAAGTTTTGGGAGTTTGAGGTGGGGTTGGGGTGGGAATTGAGGGGCTGAGGGTCCTGGGGGGGAATTTGGGGGGTCCTGAGGGGAATTTGGGGGTCCTGAGGGGGAATTTGGGGGTCCTGTTAAACCTGAAGGTCTGGGGGAGTTTGGGGAAATTTGGGGGATTTTGGGGGGTTTGAGGGGCGTTTGGGGGTGGGAATCGGGGGTTGGAGGATCCTGAGAGGGAATTTGGGGGTCCTGGGGGAGAATTTGGGGGGTCCTGAAGGGTCTGGGGGGAATTTGGGGGATTTGGGGGAAGTTTGAGGGGGATTTGGGGGATATTTGGCTCGTTTTTGGGGGGGCGTTTTGGGTCATTTGGGATCCATTCCTGCCCATTTTGGGGTCATTTCTGCCTCTTTTGGGGCAATTTCTGCTCATTTTTGAGGTTTTCCTGCTCATTTCGGGGTCATTTCTGCTCATTTTGGGGTCCATTTCTGCCCATTTTGGGGTTGTTTCTTCCCATTTTGGGGTCATTTCTTCCCATTTCGGGGTCATTTTTACCCATTTTGGGGTCATTTCCCCCCATTTTAGGGTAATTTCCCATTTCGAGGTAATTTCTGCCTGTTTTGGGTCCATTTCTGCCTATTTTGGGTCCATTTCCCCCCATTTTAGGGTAATTTCCCATTTCGGGGTCATTTTTACCCATTTTGGGGCCATTTCTTCTCATTTTGGGTCCATTTCCACCCATTTTGGGGTCATTTTTACCCATTTTGGGACCATTTCTGCTTATTTTGGGTCCATTTCCACCCATTTTGGGGTCATTTCTTCCCATTTGGGGTCATTTCTGCCCATTTGGGGTCATATTTACCCATTTTGGGTCCATTTCCCCCCATTTCGGGGCTGATTTGGGATTTTTTTTTATTCCCAGATGCTGCTCCTGCTGCCCCTCCTGTGCCTGGGGTCTCAGTCCCACCCCCGGCCGGGGGTCCCCCACGACCCCCTGCCCCCTGGCCCACGGCCACGCCCCCCCCGGGGGTCTCTCGTGGGACCACGAGGCCCTGTGGGGGGAGGGGGAGGCCGAGACCCCCAGGTCCCCCGACGAGAGCAGGAGGCGCGGTGAGGCTTGGGGGATTTGGGGTTTGGGGGTTTAGGGGGGCAGAGTTTGGGTGGGATTTAGATGAGGTTTGGGGGATTTGGGGAGGTTTGGGGGGGATTTGGGGATTTGGGGGAGTTGGGGATTTGGGGGTTTGGGGGTGTTGGGGAGATTTGGGGAAGAAGTGGAATTTGGGGGTTAGAGAAGATTTGGGGGATTTGAGGGAATTTGGGGGATTGGGGATTTGGGAGGTTTGGGGGATTTGGGGGATTTAAGGGGTTTTGGGGTCGGGGTGTTTTTTTGGGGGTGGGGTCTTTGGGGTCTGGGGTGGGTTTAGGGGCTCTGGGTGGGGTTTTTGGGGTGGTTTGGGGTCTGGGTGGGCTTTGAGGATTCTGGGTGGGGTTTGGGGTCTCAGGATTTTGAGGGGGATTTGGGAGGGCTTGAGGGGGATTTGGGGGTTTGAGGGGGATTTGGGGGTTTGGGGGTCTCTGGGAGTACTGGGAGCAGGCCTTCGGGATGACCCTGGTGAGGGGGTTTGGGGGTCCTGGGGGGGTTTGAGGGGATTTGAGGGGGATTTGGGGTGGTTTGGGGGTCACCTGGGGGAGTACCGGGAGCAGGCCTTTGGGGATGACCCTGGTGAGGGGGTTTGGGGGTCCTGGGGGTTTGAGGATTTGGGGGATTTGGGGGTTTGGGGGATTTGGGGGATGGTGTCCAGGGGGTTTGAGGGGATTTGGGGGGTTTGAGGGGATTTGGGGGTTTGGGGGTCACCTGGAGGGAGTACCGGGAGCAGGCCTTTGGGAACGACCCTGGTGAGGGGGTTTGGGGGTCCGGGGGGTTTGGGGGCTTGAAGGATTTGGGGGTTTGAGGGGCTTTGAGGGGATTTGGGGGGTTTGAGGTCCCTGGGGTTTACCTGGGGGAGTACCGGGAGTAGGCTTTTGGGATGACCCTGGTGAGGGGGTTTGGGGGATTTGGGGGTCCTGGGGGATTTGGGGGTTTGAAGGATTTGGGGGTTTGAGGGGATTTGGGGGATTTGAGGGGTTTGGGGGGATTTGGAGGAGATTTGAGGGGATTGAGGGGGATTTGGGGGATTTGAGGGGGTTTGGGGGGTTTGGGGATTCCTGGGGAGTACTGGGAGCAGGCTTGGGGATGACCCTGGTGAGGGGGTTTGGGGGTCCTGGGGGATTTGGGGGTTTGAGGGGATCTTGGGGGGTTTGAGGGGATTTGGGAGGGTTTGAGGGGATTTGGGGGTTTGAGGGGATTTGGGGGATTTGAGGGGGATTTGGGGGTTTGAGGGGATTTGGGGGTTTGAGGGGATTTGGGGGATTGGGGGATTTGGGGGTTTGAGGGGATTTGGGGGTTTGGGGTCTCTGGGGAGTACTGGGAGCAGGCCTTCGGGGATGACCCTGGTGAGGGGATTTTGGGGGTCCTGGGGGATTTGAGGGGATTTGGAGGGGTTTGGGGGATTTGAGGGGGTTTGGTGGGTCCTTGAGGTGATTTGAGGGGATTTGGGGGGTTTGGGGTGTCCAGGGGTTGTTTAAGGGGGTTTCGAGGGTCCCTGAGGTGATTTGAGGGGGATTTGGCTGTTTGAGGGGGTCTGACCCCTTTTCCCCCAGATGAGGATTTTGGGAGTTCCTGGACCCCAAATCCCCTTCCTCCCCCTTTTCCCCATTCCTTCCCCTCTTTGTCCCTTTTTCCCCCATTTTCACCCCTTTTTCCCCCCCTTTTTGGGGGTCCCAGGACCCCAACCCCCCCCAGGGGATCCCCCCCGAGGTCTGACCTCCTTTTTCCCCCCAGATGAGGATTTCAGGGACTCTCAGACCCCAAATCCCCTTTCCCTCCCCCTTTTATGGGGTCCCAAGACCCCAAATCTCCCTTTCCCCCCATTTTCCCTCTTTTCCCCATTTTGGGGTCCTAGGACCCCAACCCCCAGGATCCCCTGAGGTCTGACTCCCCTTTTCCCCCCCAGACGAGGATTTCAGGGATCTCCAGACCCCAAATCCCCCTTTCCCCCATTTCCTTCCCCTTTATGGGGTCCCAAGACCCCAAATCTCCCTTTCCCCCATTTTCACCCCCAAATGACGATTTTTGGGGTCCTCACCCCAAACCCCCCAGGATCCCCCGAGGTCTGACCCCCTTTTCCCCCCAGAGGAGGATTTCAGGGGTCTCCGGACCCCAGGGTCACCGGCGTGCCCTGGGCCGGGCCCGGCGCCGCTTCGGGGGCCGACGGGGACGGGGACGGGGGGCTGGGGGGGCCCGAGCTCGACGCCTTCCTGCACCCCGAGGACTTCGAGCACATGCAGGACATCGTGGTGCAGGTGGGGACCCCTCCCCAAATCCCTGGGACCCCCCATCCGTGGGACCCCCCCAAATCCATGGGACCACCCCCGAGTTCAAGGGAACCTCCTGAATGGGGCTTTGGGGAGTTTTGGGTGAGTTTGGGGGTTTTGGGGGGTTTTGGGGGGTTTTGGGGGTTTGGGGTCTCTTCCTGCACCCCAAGGACTTCGAGCACATGCAGGACATCGTGGTGCAGGTGGGGACCCCTCCCCAATTCACTGGGACCCCCACCCAATCCGGGAGTTCCCCCCCAAATCCATGGGACCACCCCCGAGTTCAAGGGAATCCCCTGAATGGGGCTTTGGGGGTTTGGGGGTTTGGGTCCCTTCCTGCACCCCGAGGACTTCTGAGCACATGCAGGACATCGTGGTGCAGGTGGGGACCCCTCCCCAATCCCTGGGACCCCCCAAATCTGGGAGTTCCCCCAAATCCATGGGACCACCCCCGAGTTCAAGGGAGACCCCTCCTGAATGGGGCTTTGGGGGTTTTGGGGAGTTTGGGTTTGGGGGTCTCTTCCTGCACCCCGAGGACTTCGAGCACATGCAGGACATCGTGGTGCAGGTGGGGACCCCTCCCCAAATCCCTGGGACCCCCCCGAGTCCGTGGGACCCCCAAATCCATGGGACCCCCCCCGAGTTCAAGGGAATCCCCTGAATGGGGGTTTTGGGGGGTTTTGGGGGGGTTTTGGGGGTCTCTTCCTGCACCCCGAGGACTTCGAGCACATGCAGGACATCGTGGTGCAGGTGGGGACCCCTCCCCAATTCGCTGGGACCCCCCCCAAATCATTGACACCCTCCCCAAATTGAAGGGATCCCCCTAAGCCCCTCCTGGGTGGGGCATTTCAGGGGTTTTGGGGGGTTTTGGGGGTCTCTTCCTGCACCCCGAGGACTTCGAGCACATGCAGGACATCGTGGTGCAGGTGGGGACCCCTCCCCAAATCCCTGGGACCCCCCAATCTGGCATTGACACCCCCCCAAATTCAAGGGAATCCCTGAATGGGGGTTTGGGGGTTGGGGGTTTTGGGGGTCCCTTCCTGCACCCCGAGGACTTGGAGCACGTGCAGGACATCGTGGGGCAGGTGGGGACCCCTCCCCAATCCACTGGGACCCCCCGAGTCCGTGGACCCCCATTCATTGACACCCCCCCAAATTCAAGGGAACCCCTGGAGTGGGAGTTTTTGGGGGTTTGGGGGTTTTTGGGGTCTCTGAGACTCCCTTGGACCCCCATCACCTGGGACCCCCAAATCATTGAACCCTCCCACCCCAAATCCCTGGGACCCCCCCCCTCCCCAAATACCCCCAGACCCATTTTGGGAGAGTTTTGGGGGTTTTTTTACCCCCCCAGACCCATTTGGGTTTTTTAAGCCCCCTGACCCATTTTGGGGGAGTTTTAAGGGTTTTTGAGCCCCCAGACCCATTTTGGGGAGTTTTAAGGGTTTTTCAGCCCCCCAGACCCATTTTGGGGTGTATTTTTTTGGGGGGGGGGTCTCACCTTTCCCTTTTTCCCCCCCCAGGAGACGATGGAGGATTTGGATCGGGACGGGGATGGATTCATCCAGCTCGAGGAGTACATCGGTCAGGGGGGGCTTTTTGGGGGATTTTGGGGGGTTTTGGGGGGATTTGGGTCCATTTTTGGGGGGATTTTGGGTCCATTTTTGGGGGGATTTGGGTCCATTTTTGGAGGGATTTTGGGTCAATTTTGGGGGATTTTGGGTCTGTTTTGGGGGGATTTGGGGGATTTTGGGGTCAATTTCAGGGGATTTTGGTTCCATTTTTGGGGGATTTGGGTCCATTTTGGGGGGACTTTGGATCCATTTTTGGAGGATTTGGGTCCATTTTTGGGGGGATTTTGGGTCCATTTTGGGGGATTTTGGAGTCAATTTTGGAGAGATTTTGGGTCCATTTTTGGAGGATTTGGGTCCATTTTGGGGGGATTTTGGCTCCATTTTGGGGCGATTTGGGGGGATTTTGGCTCCATTTCGGGACGTTTTGGGGTGGATTTGAGTGGGATTTTGGGGTTTTTTGGGGTGAGTCTTTTTTGGGGGTTTCACTGACCTTTCCCCAGCCGACCTGTTTGAGGGTCCCCCTGGGGGTGCCGAGCCCCCCGAGGAGGGATTGGGGGGGCTTTTGGGGGGGATTTGGGGTCAATTTGGGGAGGATTTGGGGTCAATTTGGGGTGGAATTTGAGTCCATTTTGGGGGGATTTGAGGGGGATTTTGGGGGGGTTTCATGGTCAATTTTGGGGAGGAATTGGGGGCTCAATTTTGAGGGGATTTGGGTCCATTTTGGGGGATTTTGGATCCATTTCGGGGGGTTTTGGGGGGATTTTGGGTCCATTTTGGGGCGATTTGGGACATTTTAGGTCCATTTTGAGGGGATTTTGGGGGGATTTTGGGTCCATTGTGGTCCATTTTGGGGCGGATTTGAGAGGGATTTTGGGGGTTTGGGGTGAGCTTTTTCGGGGGTCCTACTGATTTTTCCCCCCAGCCGACCTGTTTGAGGGTCCTCTGGGTCCCGAGCCCCTGAGGAGGGATTGGGGGCTTTTGGGGATTTGGGGTCATTTGGGGGATTTGGGTCCATTTTGGGTGGTTTTGGGGTCAATTTTGGGGGGATTTGAGGGGATTTTGGGTCAGGTTTGGGGGGTTTTAAGGTCAATTTTGGGGGATTTAAGGGGATTTTGGGTCTGGTTTGGGGCCAATTTCGGGGGGATTTGAGAGGATTTTGGGTCTGGTTTGGGGGGATTTGAGGTCAATTTTGAAGGTTTGTATCCATTTTGGGGGATTTTGGCTCCATTTTGGGGCATTTCGGGGCAGATTTGAGAGGGATTTTTGGGGTTTTTTTGGGGTGAGCTTTTTTGGGGTCCCACTGGCTTTTCCCCAGCCGACCTGTTTGAGGGTCCCCTGAGTCCTGGAGCCCCGAGGAGGGATTGGGGGCTTTGGGGGATTTGGGGTCAATTTGGGGGATTTGGGTCCATTTTGGGTGGTTTTGGGGTCAGTTTTGGGGGGATTTGAGAGGATTTTGGGTCAGGTTTGGGGGGTTTTAAGGTCAATTTTGGGGGGATTTGAGGGGATTTTGGGTCCAGTTTGAGGAGTTTTGGGGTCCATTTTCGGGGGATTTGGGGTCAATTTTGAAGGTTTGTGTCCATTTTGGGGGATTTTGGCTCCATTTTGGGGGGTTTTGGGGCGGATTTGAGAGGGATTTGGGGTTTTTTTGGGGGTGGAATTTGAGTCCATTTTGGGGGATTTGAGGGAGATTTTGGGGGTTTTATGGTCAATTTTGGGGATTTGGGGGTCGATTTTGAGGGGATTTGGGTCGATTTTGGGGATTTGGCCCATTTTGGGGAGTTTGTGGGTTTTGGCTCCATTTTGGGGTTTTAGGCGGATTTGAGAGGACATTTGGTTTTTTTGGGTGAGCTTTTGGGGTCCCACTGATCTTTCCCCCCAGCTGACCTGTTTGAGGGTCCCCTGGGGTCCTGAGCTCCCAAGGAGGAGATTGGGGGATTTTGGGGGGGATTTGGGGTCAATTTTGGTGGGGGATTTGGGTTTATTTTGGGTAACTTTGGGGTCAATTTTGGGGGGATTTGAGGGGATTTTGGGTCCAGTTTGAGGGGTTTTGGGGTCCATTTGGGGGGGATTTGGGGTCAATTTTGAAGGTTTGGGTCCATTTTGGGGGATTTGGGTCCATTTTTGGGAGGATTTGGGTCCATTTTTGGAGGATTTGGGTCAATTTTGGGGGGATTTTGGGTCCGTTTTGGGGCAGATTTGAGAGGGATTTTGGGGGTTTTTTTTGGGGTGAGCTTTTTTCGGGGGGGGTCCCACCGACTTTTCCCCCCCCCAGCCGACCTGTTTGAGGGTCCCCCCGGGGGTCCCGAGCCCCCCGAGGTGCAGAGGGAGCGGGAGCAGTTCCTGGGGCAGCGGGACCGGGACGGGGACGGCCGATTGGGACCCCACGAGGTCAAACTTTGGCTCCGACCCCCCAGCCCCGACTGGGCGGGGGTCGAGGCCGCCCATCTGCTGCACCACGCTGACCAGGACGGGGTGAGGGGCGTTTGGGGGTCTGGGGGTTTGGGGGAATTGGGGGATTTGGGGGTGAGAGGCTTGGGGGTTTGAGGGGGATTTGGGGGATTTGGGGGTCTGGGAGGGATCTGGGGGATTTGGGGGAATTGGGAGGATTTGAGGGGGTTTGGGGGATCTGGGGTTGGGGGTTTGGGGAGTTTTGGGGGTTTGAGGAGTTTGGGGGATTTGGGGCCATTTTGGGGCAGTTTCAGGATATTGGGGGATTTGGGGCTTTGGAGGGGCTTTGGGGGATTTGGGGATGATTTAGGGGTTTTGGGGGACTTGGGGGCCAACTGGGGTCCTAGAGGGTTTGAGGGGGTTGGGGAGATCTGGGGGATTTTAGGGGTTCCTGGGTGGGTTTGGGGGTCCCTGGGGGATTTGGGGTCCCTGGGTGGGTTTTGGGTCCCTGGGGGATTTTGGGGTCCCTGGGGATTTTTGGGGTCCCTGGGTGGGTTTTGGGGTCCCTGGGGGCTTTGGGGTCCCTGGGGAGGATTTTGGGGTCCTTGGGGGTTTTGGGGTCCCTGGGGATTTTGGGGCCCTGGGGGTTTTGGGGTCCTGGGAGGGGGTTTGGGGGTCCCTGGGGTTTTGGGGTCCCTGGAGGGGATTCTGGGGTCCTTGGGGGATTTTGGGGTCCCTGGGTGGGTTTGGGGTCCCTGGGATTTTGGGATCCCTGTGGGGATTTTGGGGTCCCTGGGTGGGTTTGAGTCCCTTGGGGCTTGGAGTCCTGGGGATTCTGAGGGTCCTTGGGGGATTTTGGGTCCCTGGGGGTTTGGGGTCCCTGGGTGGGTTTTGGGGTCCCTGGGGTTTGGGGTCCCTGGGGGAATTTTGGGGTCCCTGGGTGGATTTTGGGGTCCCTGGGATTTTGGGGGTCCCTGGGGGATTTTTGGGGTTCCTGGGTGGTTTTGGGTCCTGTGGGCTTGGGGTTCCTGGGTGGGTTTTGGGGTCCTGGGGATTTAGGGTCCCTAGTTTTAGGATCCTGGGTTTGGATCTGGGAGTCAGACTGGGATTTGAGGATTTGGGGGTTTTGGAGGTCCCTAGCTGGATTTGGGGGCATTTCGGGGTCCCCGGGGGTGTTTCTGAGTCCTGAGGTGGGGGAGGGGTCCCTCGGGTGTGGGGAGGGCTTGACGCCCCTCCCCCAAAAAGGGACTGGGCAGCTGACGCGGAGGAGATTTTGGGGCAGTTCGAGCTCTTCGTGGGCAGCAAAGCCACGGATTTTGGGCAGGACCTGCACAGACCCCACGATGAACTCTGAGAAAACTCCCCCGGGACCCCCCAAACCCCCCTGGGACCCTCCAAACCCCCCTGGACCCCCCAAAATCCTCAGAGAATCCCTCCCCAAAATCTCCCCAGGATCCCCCAAAACCCCCCTCGACCCCCAAACCTCCCTGGGACCCCCAAAAACTCTCAGAGAACCCTCCCCAAAATCTCCCCAGGATCCCCCAAAACCCCCCCAAATCCCCCCAACCCCCCGGGAACCCCAAATTCTCAGGACCCGCCAAAATTCCCAAAACCCCCCTGGGACCCCCCAAACCCCCCGGGACCCCCAAAACTCCCTGAGACCCTCCCAAAATCCTCAGAGAACCCTCCCCCCAAAATCTCCCAAGACCCCCAAAATAACTCCCCAGAAATCTCCCCAAACTCTCCCTGGGATCCCCAAACCTCTGAGGCCCCCAAAATTCCCAAAACCCTCTGGGATCCCCAAACCCCCTGGGACCCCTCAAAATCCTCAGAGAACCCTCCCCCAAAATCCACCTGGGACCCCCAAAACCCCTCAACTCCACCCCCAAATCCTCAGAGACTCCCTAAAATCCCTCCAGGACTCCCAAAATCCTCAGAGACTCCCTGGGACCCCCAAAACTCTGAGACCCCCGTGATTTTGGGGGGACGTTTTGGGAGGAGGGGAATCCCAAAATGAGCTTTGACCTCTCAGGACCCCCAAAAACTCCCCGGGTCTTTGAGCTTCTCTCCCCCCGGGTGATTTTTTGGGGGAATTTGAGGGGGGAGAATTTGGGTGAGAGAGAAATTTTGGGGGGGAGAGGATTTTGGGGCTTTTTGCAACGAATAAAGATGTTTCTTGAGGGGGTCCCCAAAAAACCCTGTCCTGGCTCTGATTGAAACCCCTGATGGGAATTTTGGGATCCCTCCCATGGAAATTTTGGGACCCCTGTCAAGTTTAGGACCCCCTGGGTGGGATTTGGGGGGATTGAGGATTTGGTGATTTGGGGCATTTTGGTGGATTTGGTGGAATTTTGGGTGGGATTTTGGGGATTTGGGAATTTGGGGGGAATTTGAGAGGATTTTGGGGGATTTTGGGTGGGATTTGGGGTTTTGGGAATTTGGGGGATTTTGAGGATTTTGGGGATTTGGGGTGGGATTTTGGGGTTTTGGTGCGGAATTTGGGGGATTTAGGAGGGATTTTGGGGAGATTTTGGGTGGGAATTTGGGAGGATTTTGGGGGATTTGGAGCGATTTTGGGGGATTTGGGTGGATTGGGACTTTGGGAGGATTTTGGTGGATTTTGGGAGATTTTGGTGGGACTTGAGGATTTTGAGAGACTTGGGGATTTGGTGATTTTGGGTTTTGAGTGGATTTGGGGATTTAGGAGGATTTTGGGTGGAATTTGGGGTGGATTTTGGGGTGGGGGTACGGAACAAGCCCCTCCCTCCCCCCCACTCCTTCCCCTGACTTTGGGGTCCTCTGGGGTTTTTGGGGAGGGTGACCTTCCTCTCCCCCGCCCCAATTCCCTCCCAAATCTGGGTCTGGGGTCCTGCGGGACCCGCCCCTGCTTTGCTGCTCCCAAATTTAGGGGCGGGTGGGGAGGGGCTGCCCTGGACTCCGGACCCCCTCCCCCCACCACCCTCAAAGCCCCGCCCCCACCCTCAAAGCCCTCCCCCAGTGACGCGGCCCCTTTAAGAGAATCCACGCCCCTTCTTTAAGCCACGCCCACACCAAACGAGACCACGCCCTCTTCGTTCAGACCACGCCCCCTTCATCGATAAATAATCCCCAATAAGCCACGCCCACCGCGGCGAAACCACGCCCCTTTTTGCCGCAGGATTGGCCACGCCCCCTCTCCGCAGAAACCACGCCCACCACCAAACCACGCCCACCATCACAGACCACACCCACCCGCACAAACCACGCCTATCCGTCCAAGCCACGCCCATCTCCGCCTTGGCCACGCCCCCTCCGCGGCTCAGGCCACGCCCTCCGCCTGCCGAGGGGGCCCGTCCGTGTGTCCGGCGGCTGCAGGTCTGTCCGGGGGACCCCCCCAAACCCCCCTCAAATCCCCCCTTAGGACCCCTGACCTTCCCCCAAACCCCTCGAGAACCCCCAAATCCCCTGAGACCCCCCCACTCACCCTGAGATCCCCAAACCCCCCTTTGGACCCCCAACCTTCCCCCCAACCTCCCCTGAGAACCCCCAACTCACCCTGAGACCCCCAACCAACCCTTCCAGAGCCCCCAGCCCCCCAAATCCCTCTCTTAGACCCCCGACCTCTACCCCCAGACCCTCTGAGAACCCTCAACCCACCCCCTGAGACCCCCAACCCACCCTGAGACCCCCCACTCACCCTGAGACCCCCAACCCCCCCTCCCTGAACCCCCATGACCATCCCCCAAACCCCCCCTGAGAACCCTCCAACCCTTCACCCCAACCCCCGGACCTCCCAGCCCCCCATCTCCCAGCCCCCCTCGACCCCTCAATCACCCCTGAGACCCCCTCTGAGACCCCCTGAGACAGATCCCCCCAAAAACCCCCTGAGACTCCTCCCAACCCCCCTTGGATCTCCAGACCCTTCCCCTGAGACCCCCCATCCTGAAACCCCTGACCCTCCCCACACCCTGAGACCCCACCCCCAAAATCCCTGACCCCTTGGACCCTCCATCCCCTCCATCCCCCTCGAGATCCCCACTTGGACCCCTCCACCCACCCCTGAGACCCCCTAAACCCCCTGAGCCCCCTCGAGACCCCCAACCCCCTTTGGATACCTAAACCCCCTGAGACTCCCCAACCCACCCTGAGACTCCCCTCAAAAATCCCCAGACCCTCTTGGACCCTCCTCCCCAGAACCCTCCTTGGATCCGAGACCTCCCTTGGACCTCCCACTCCCCCAGATCCCCCTTGACTTCCCACCTCCCCCGAGACCCCCTGAAACCCCTCACCCACCCCTGAGCCTGCCCCGAAACCCCTTGGACCCGAGACCCTCCCGAGACCCCCCAGCCCACCCTGAGACCCCTGAGACCCCTCACCCACCCCCGAGCCCGCCCCTAAGACCCCTTGGACCTGAGACCCCCGAGACCCCCCAACCCACCCCTGAGACCCCCACTCTGTGGACCCCTGAGCCCCCTAAAGCCCCCTCTTGAGCCCCTGAGACCCCCTTTGGAGCCCCAAACCCCTCCTTGGACTCCCCTTGGACCCCCAAACCCCCTGAGACCCTCTGAGACTCCCTGAGACTCCCCGGCAGCCCCTGGGTGTGTCCGTGGGTCCGTCCGTGGGTTTGTCTGTCCGTGGGTCCGTGGGGTGTCCGTGGGTGTGTCCACCTGTCCGTGTGTCCATCCCTTGGCTTCTGTCCGTGGGTGTGTCTGTGGGTCCGCCTCCGGGTTTCTGTCTGTGGTTTCTGTCTGTGTGGTCCATCTCCCAGGCTCTGTTCCACTTGTCTATGTGTTCATCCCTGGCTTCTGTCTGTGGGTCTGTCCTGTGTGTCCACTCTGTCTCTTGTGTCCATCTCTTGACTTGTCCTTGTGTCTCGTGGTTGTGTCTGTAGTGTTCATCTGTGGGTCTGTCCGTGTGTCCATCTCTAGGCTCTGTCTACTCTGTCCCTGTGTCTATCTCTTGGCTGTGTCTGTGGGTCTGCCTGCAGGGTTTGTCTCGTCCGTAGTTCATGGGGGTGTCTGTGTGCCTATCTCATGGGTCTGTCTATGTGTCTATCTCGTGGTGTGTCTGTGTGTCTATCTCTGACTTCTGTCTCGGGTGTGTCTCGTGTGTCCATCTCTGGCTTCTGTCTCGTGGGTCTGTCCGTGTGTTCATTCTGGTGTCTGTCTACTCTGTCTATGTGTTCATCTC